TTAAAACCACCTTCCCTAATTGGAAGCTGGCTGGGGATGTTTACATGTGTTAGCCAGAGGGTTTTTTGGATGCTAAATACCCTAATAGAGTGTGCAAGCTTGAGAATCCATTTATGGATTGAAGCAAGCATCTCCTAGATGGAATCATTGCTTCGATGAGAAAGTCAAAAAGTTTGGTTTCTCTACGAGTGAGGATGAGTCCTGTGTATATGTCAAAGCTAGTGCGAGTATAGTTAGCTTTTTAGTGTTGTATGTTGATGATATACTACTTATAGGAAACGACATTCCAACATTGTAGGAGGTTAAGTCTTGTCTTGGAAAGTGTTTCACTATGAAGGATCTAGGAGAGGTTGCCTTTATTCTGGGAATAAGGATCTTGAGGAATAAGAGTAAAAGACTAATTGGACTTAGTCAAAGTACTTACTTTAGATAAAGTGCTAAAATGTTTTAGCATGGAGAATTCCAAGAAAAGGGAGTTACCTATCCAGAGTAATACCAAACTGAGTAAGACTTAGAGTCCTAGTGCCGATTTAAAGATAGTGGAAATGAGTCGAGTGCCATATTGTTCTGTCGTTGGCTCGAATCATGTACACTATGACATGTACTTGCCCTGATGTGGCTTTTTCTTTAAGCATGGTAAGTCGATATCAAGGGAATCCGAGTATAGCTCACCGGATAGCAGCTAAGAACATTCTTAAGTATCTACGAAGGACTAAGGATTGGTGGCAGTGATGACTTAAGAGTCGCAGGGTATAATGATTCCAACTTTCAGAACGATAGAGATAACTTCCGCTCCCAGTCAGGATAGGTGTTTACCCTGAATGGAGGAGTTGTGACTTGGAAAAGTTCCAAGCAAGAGACCGTGGTTGATTCAACATGCGAATTAGAGTACATAGCTGCTAGCGAAGCATCGAAGGAGGCTATATGGTTGAAGAACTTCATTGGAGACCTTGGAGTTGTACCATCCATAAAGGAGCCCATGGAAATTTTCTGCGATAATGAAGGAGCGATTGCCTTAACCAAGGAACCAAGAGATCGTGGTAGATCAAGACATATCGATAGAAAATACCACTTCATCAGACATCGGGTAGAAGAAGGACTCCTCATCGTCAAGAGGGTATCATCTGAAGAGAATCATGCAGATCCCCTCACAAAGAGTCTGAGTAGGATTAAGCACCTTCAACATGCAAGGAGCATTGGCTTGAAGGATGATATTATTTTTAGTGATTAGATAAACTTTTAGAAACTTTTAAGAATGTAAATGTAATTGACATTTGATGATTAAATAATGGAGATTTATTTATAAGTATTGTTTACTGTCTCTTGTCAATTGTTTATTGTGTGTTTCACTTTCGCATGTTTTACTTCCTGAATAACTGGATTATCCAAAACATCCATAGTCAATCATACTTTGGATGTAAGTAGTGAATTAAGACTGTTATGAATTGGCTTGTAGATTGTCTAAGTGTTTAGACATAACAAATGCTTGTATATTGTTTAAGTGTTTACTCTTAAAATGAGATTTAAGTATTGGATTAAACCCATGCTCATTTGAATTACTTCATGGAATTTATCAATATCGTATAATCTTTAAAGCAAGACATATAAGTTATTCTTTACGAGTTCGTTGTGCATTGATAATGTGTAAACGCATCAGTAACTTGATGTTATAAAACGTATTGTTGTGTACGATTTAATAAGTAAATAATACAAGCATATAAGTCAAAGTTTATCTGTTCCTTTTATCCCAAAGGGTAAAAGCGATATCTTGGGCCCCTCGATGATTTTATGTTGACTTATGTTCCGGGCCCGGTCAGGATCGAATTGATGTGTTCAATTAAGTTCGTTGTCATACAAATTAGAAATCGGGAAAAAAACTGTTGGATGTTGAGAATGATTCTATTACGTGTCTTTTTCTACATGATATCTTTCAGAATGGAGGATTATATGCTCCCTTATCTAAGGACTTGTAACTAACTGGGTCAGAGTTCGACAACGGCTTTTGAGAGGTACGATTGCTAGTCAAAATTTGAAGTCATACTTGCAATTACAGTTATTATACTTATCCAATTGGAAGACTACTGGATTTGGTGTCTAAGCCTATAACTATAATTGGTATGTACTTGATTTGATAGTAGCATGATCCTTTTGGGTTGCCTTCACACTAGCAACTAGACAGGATGACTATTAGAGAGAGAGAGAGGCTGATTTTATTATTTAGAATAATAAATAGGTGCATAAAAATGTTTTATTAATATATTATGAGAATAATATATTAATTAGAAATCATATTATTAATTAGTATTTAATAAGAAATCAATTTGGAATTGAAGGAACTGATTAAAAGTGAAGGGGCTAGTTTGTAATTATTTGATAGTTGTGGTTTTGGGCCATTGGATCACCCTTATTAGGGAGGATCGAAAATCCCTAGAAAGTTCGAGAGATTTTCGTCCAATCCCTAAGGAAGGGGTCCATGGACTTGCTTAGGCCCTAAGCGAAGGAATTAGGGTTTCCACCTTAAAGCCCTAGCTAGCCTCAACTATAAATAGAGCCCTTTGGCTCTTGAATTCGGGCACTTCATTGAAACCCTAGAAGAGCCGAATTTCTGATCAAGTGACTCCTCTATCCTCTCTCTCATATTCATCCTCTTGCCTTAGTGTGTTTGTGAGCCATTAGAGGTACTACACTTGTGGTACTTGTTCTCAAAAGCAAGGATCTTCAAGAATTGGTTGTTATTACTATATAGAAACAAAGGTATGTGTTCTAATCTATCTTATGTATACTCGAAATATTAGATGCATATTAGGGTTTTCTATTTTGTGTTTAATGCTTGTATGTCTAATAGAGAAAACATAGATCCAATCTAGGGTTGCATGCACACATATGATTTTTTGTATAAAACCCATCAGTTTTTCTTTCAATTTTTGTTTTTTTACACTTTCTGCATCTTGCCTTAGGAAATATTTGACTTTGTGTATCATTTCTTATGTATTCTCCCATTCTTTTCCTACTAACTTGCGAAACAAATCTCCTTCCAAGAATCTGTAGGTAAATGTTGCTATGATCATGAGGTCATCTCTCGTTGGCATCTTTCAACTGATTTCATTGAATCGCTCGAAGTAGGCTTCATTGGATTCTCCTTCACGTTGTCGACATGAAAATATCGCATACGCTTGTTGTTGGAACCTTCTCTGCTGAATACAGCTAACCAGTATCTAGCAGATCTATCCAAAGTTCATGCAAAATATAAACTCCATAACTTTTGGGTCCATTGGAAGCATCTTGATAGCCAATTAGAAATTCAAGACATTGTCATGTGGGTTCCCTTTTCCATTGTATGGCGGCATACTAGGTCCCTTTAGTCCTTTTTGAATGGGTACTTTGTTGATATCACCCATAAAGGGTAAATGGAAATTCAAAATTTTGAAGGCTTGGTTGTACTACTTTGCCTCTACTATCTCTAGTGGCACTTCCTGATCTTTATGAGAATTCTTCTTTGTTTTTTTAGAGCATGAAGGGCCAGAGCTTACTTCCTTTTTGCTTAATTTCTCTTCATTCCTTTTGTCTTTTATCCCCGTCTCGTTCGAATCATTCGTCTGACTGGAGTGAATAGAGACCAAATCCCATTCTTTCTCTATCTGGATCTTTCATTCATTTCTTTCCATTTGCCTCTTTCTCATGTCTCTAAATTTTTTGAAATCCTCAAATTCCCCCATTTCCAATTTTTCATATTCTAAATTCTTTTGACTTATCTCTCTTCCTTCTTCTCCTGACCCTTCCAGTGTCATATTCTTGTTTTTATTACCGTTGTAATATGTGGCATTTCTTCAGTTCCTTTGAGGTTTCATATTCTCGCGATGGGGCTCGCATCAACGATTTGATTTTCTTCGTTGGCTATTTGATGTGAGGTCCCACGAATGGCGCCACTTGTTGCGCCCTCGGGTTTAACATTCATCGATTGTGAGAGTTCACGATCCCTTCATGATTAATTAAACTGGAGACGACAAACAACTTCATAAGCTAATTTGCCATAAGGAGATCCCAGACCAACACTCTGATGATAAAATCAATGTTAACCTTAAGAAAGTATGTCGTCAGTCGAATGAGACTCAATAAAAATATGTGTATGATCACGTACCTTATAAAGTGGTTATTGTCACTTATTTATAGTCAATGATAGGAGGTTGCGACCTATTCATGTATCGACCCGGTATGTTATCTTGTCGCATCAATGGTCATATACCCGAAGGTACACTCTTGTGTACTTACTAGCTGTTTAACAGTTGTCTCTTGTTGGTAAAAAGGATCCATCAGTCAGATATCTTTTGCATAAGATATATTACTTTGAGTTTTAATGTACTATCATATTGTTGTGACGTCATCTTGTACTTTATTCGTGACTTTATATGGTTCGATACTCATGCCTACTTCGGTATACATTTGGTTTAGTAGTCCGGTATATACATGGTCTGGTATACACCTGGTTCGACATAGCGAGGGTATGTGTGTAGATTTAGGCTAGACTATACCCTATTACATACATTATATGATAAATAGATGTTTAATTCATGCAATGTTATCAAATAACATAATCGGTTTATGATATTCTATATTTGGATTATAAAGTAATAAAATATTATTATATATCAAAATAATTAAAATATAGTTGTTCAGAAAATATAAAAGAAAAAAGTGATGTATCTTGAATCATATAAAAGAATTTAATCCTTATTTATGACCTAGAATATGTCTACATGAAATGTCTTTCAGTTTGTAGACTTTGGTCCATGTCTTTCTAGAAAAGAAGACGTGTAGACGTTTTAACATCTATGGTTTTCTAAAAAACAAACAATTCATGAAAACATTAAGATGTAATATTTTTGTATCAATAGACATTAGTGCTCAAAAAGAACTTTTCCAAAATAAACAAAAAATAACCAAACTTTTTTGGACTAAAATACAGTATTTTTACCAACCATGGACCAAATTTGCAGTTCTCTCTAAAACGAAAAGGCAGGGATTAAATTCGCTAATATACAAACAATTCAGGGACGAAATTTGAAAGTTGCTTCGAACGAATAGGATAAGAGAACATTTGGGTAAGCCTTTCCCGTTCACCACACCATAGACAGTCCTCGACGTACATCAGCAATGGCTCAAGCGCTAGCAACACCCGTCGCACCTTCGCTCTCTCTTATCTGCACAACCTCATCTTCCTTCAAATCCAAATCCGCTTCAAACTCTCTATCATTCTCGACTTTCAATCCTCCAAAGGTAACAACGAATGTCGATAAAACTGTGTATTCTTTCGATTTGTTAATGAATGAGTCGAATTAAACTTGCAGGTTGGTGGATTGAGCATAAGATGCGCTCGTGTTGGAGGAGTTGAGATACCGAACAACAAGAGAGTTCAGTATTCGCTACAGTACATTCATGGAATTGGGCGTACCAGAGCTCTTGAGATCCTCAACGACCTCAAAATGGAGAACAAAATCACAAAAGATTTATCGGAAGAAGAGCTGATTATTCTTCGTGATGAAGTTTCTAAGTACATGATTGAAGGAGACCTCGTATGCTCGAATTCCTTTCTCATTTAATTTCATCCATGATTTCTCTTCTCATTCCATCCGATTTTAGGGTTCAAACATAATCCTTCCAAAATTCAACTTCCTAATCCCCAATTTGTATGATTGAATGTGGTTCTCGTCTGATTTTGATTTCACAGAGGCGATTCAATGCGCTTGCAATTAGGAGATTGAAAGAAATTCAGTGCTACAGAGGTGTACGCCACATTCAGGGACTCCCTTGTAGAGGACAGCGAACGAAGAACAATTGCAGGACTTTGAAGGGCAAAAAGATTGCAATTGCTGGCAAAAAGAAGGCCCCTCGTTAGACTCAAATCTCTGGTTTGTGACTTTGTTCATTGTTCATGTTTACATCAAAATTATTGTTTAATGTTAGATTAATTAACCTTGTTTTTTGTACTACATTTTGGGTTCGATGATTAAGTTCAGAATTGCAATGAAACGAAGTTTTTCTACATTGAAACAAAATTACAACTTCAATGCTTAATATCTTAAATGTTTGAATTAGTTCAATCGCTCGTAGTGTGAGCTTATGATCTTCATTGTGAATTTTGATTGAGAATTATTGATTGTGAAGCGTGAATGTTAGTATGTAAAGCTGTGAATTGTATCCATGTGGCATTTATGCGAATTAATTCTATATCGTATTAATTCTATATCGTATTGATACTCTAATATTTAGTTAGTATTAAAATAGTATTAATACTTATGTTATATTTTTATATGATATTAATTATATATAATATTAATACTTTGATATATAAATTTCTACATTATATAAAAAAATCGCTATACCATTGCAATCGCTATTTGATTTTTGACCGATATAAATGGGTTAGTGTTTAGTGATGATATGATTTTTAACCCGCAATTAAAAACTCGACTACAATGAAACAAAATTGAAAATTGATTGTTTAAACGTCTTGAGAAAAGTGAATGAACTCGGTAGAACAGTTGTGAAATTTAACTACCGTTGTCAATATTTTCCTTATATTTTAGCTTGTCAATATTTTCCTTATATTTTAGCTTGTCAATATTTTCCTTATAACTGAAAATAACTGGAAAACTAACTGATAACTGAAAAACTGTATGCTAGTCGAAACATTAGTAGCTAGCTGCTAGCTGAAAAACTAGTTACTAGCTAAAAAACTAAGTGATAATTTAAAAAACAATCAACATATAAAAAAAATGATGTTTTCCATAAAGTAGATGATAATGTGGTTGAAACATGTAAAAGTTATAAAATGATGTATAAAATATTGAATATTTTATTATAATTAATAAAATATATATTTGAATTTTTTTTAAAATAAGCTCAATGAGCTAGTTGCAGCTTCAATTTTATTTTTTCTTTGGAAAATATTGTGGATCAAACGACCGAGTAAGTTTTACGTTAAATACTTTTACGTCACAAAATATATGAGAACAAAATATCTACTAACATTTTTTATAAGCATTTTGTAGTATCAAACGCATTATTTTTTAAATTTATAATGAATATATTGGAGATAATTTGTTAGTTAAATTGTTGATATTTATTAAAAAAAATAAATAAAAAGGATATGCTACGGCTCGAAGTTCTTTGGTTGGACATATGTGAACAACTTGCATTTTGCGTTATAAATGATGTGTGATTAAATATCATTATGTTGTTGAAAATCTTCCTATCTAATAAACGAAACCTTCATGTTCTACGTGTCAATTTCTCAATCCCCTTTCACACAAACTGAAATACCAAAAATACTTCTCTTTTAATTTAAAATCACCGTGAAGTAAGTAATGTCATCTAAATTTTGGAAACTAATATTAGTTCAAACTTTACACATTACCCCTCCCACTAATTAGATATATTTTTTCCATATATCACATTTTTTTGGCACATTTTTAATTCTACTATTTCCTTTATTTTACCACTTCCGGCTAAAATAAACTATTTTTATGCCCAATTTCTTTTTTCACGCATAAACATAAAAAAAAAAATACAAAAACAAACATATCCATTTCATCTGTTAGATAATCACACAGAAACTCAATAGCTTACAATGGTTTTGATCAAAGATAATTTAAAAAATCAATCACAATTTATTAAATCAATCACATGCATCATAGGTAGTATAGATATGATGTCACTATACATAAATAATGCAAGTCTTTGGAGCAAATATATTGGAGTATTAAATATTAATCATAAGACTTCAGTTTGATCAAAAGACAAACCCAATTTTCTAATAAAAATGGGCAAGTATCTAAAATGAATTGTTTCGTCATATTTGTATTTGTTTCACGCACATGGATTTGTTCACCATTCATTAAAAAAATTAAAAGGAATTATCGGTCATAAGAGTTTGACATTAATTAAAATCATGATTGACGATTCATAAAATTGATTATGAAAACTGAATTGGGTTTTAAAATTCATTAAAAAAACATACACTACTCAGTACTCATGTATAGTAGAAAAAGGACAAGAATGAGACTCAAGTGAACAACTATATGCTAATCAGTAACAAAAAGAATCGCAAATCATTCATGGGAAGAATAGTGACGAAATGAACCGTCGACGATGGGCAAGCGACGACAGCGGCGGAGGACGAAGCGACGACGACGTTGGTTGTTTATTAGCCAGCAACTGTCCATAAAACCTTTTGAAATCAAGGTAACAAGTTCTCCACTTGGCATTCGTTTTGTTACATTGATCTCAAGTTTTTCTGGTACCTACAATTTGGTTCCATGTGGAGAGTTCATTGCTATTTCTGACATCTAATCCTAATAAAATCAGGCTAAATGCAATGAATATTATATTTTTGTTTCACATACCTTTTTCCTAATAAGGAAGTTATTAACCACAAATCACTAAAGGTGCAAAGGATCTTTATGAAAGTAAACGTTCGTTTAATAGAAGGAAAATAGGCTTTTCGATTGATAGAATCCATTTTGTTTTTGCTCATTTAGTAAGATCGAATTCAAAAATATCAAATTAGAAATTTTTATGTAACTCATTTTTTACTTAATTTTCTTTTTAATTTGTAGAACCATGCAGTACACACGATATTATAACAAAATGTAGTAATTTTTTTTCTTTTACCCGTGGTTCCCACGGATTCTAACTTAATATATTATATACGTTTATTAAAACCCATCGTCCTTATCAAACTTTTCAGCTTACATATTTTAACCACATTATTATGAACAAATCGACTCTTTACGCCCTTCTACATTTGCAACTGCCTTTTTAGACAAACAAATATACCCAACGCAGATGGTTTCATACATTTCCCGTAGTCTTTTCATCCAAGAACTTACATTCACGAATACAATCTCGACTCGTAGTTCATGGTAGGTGTATAAAATGGACATTTATTGTCATTCAAAATATAAAACAAAAACAACTAAATTATAGAAATGGTAAATGTATTCCTTAAAAAGCTTCATCTTCGCCTCTTTGTTTCATATGATTCATTTGTAGCATTTTTTTATTTTGTATTTTTGTTTCATTCTTAAGCACTTGGCATAACAATCATTAGAAACCTCCTGTTAACTCACTTCATAAGTTCATATGCTTTGCGTATGAGGTAGTGTTGTCGATAGCGGTCATAGCAATGGCCATAGCGCGCTATGTAGCAAAGCGGTTCTATGAAGTTATTACCTTGTATAAAATAGTGGTCTCACTGATTATCAATTTTGCAACTAGCCTTCAATTCACCATTATTTTATGAAATTGATCTTTCATTAACCATCGATCCATGTTGAATTTTTTAAATTGGCCATCAATTTTGCAATCATCCCTAAATTACCTTCAATTTTTTATATTGATCATCTATATATAAATTTAACCATCAATTTGTGAAATCGGCCATCATTCCATGCTCTGTTTGTGAAATTGATCGGTAATCGACCCTAGTATCTGAAATTGACAATCAAACGTCATTAATGAATGAAATTAACACTCAATTTTTTGAATTAGCCATCATTCGACCCTCAATCTATGAAATTTATTGTCAATCAGCCATCAAGTTTGCTTGTTTCAAGAGTTTCATGACCTATTTTTCCTGCATTGTGTGTGTGTGTGTGTGCGTGTGTGTATATATATAGCTGTAAACGAACAGAACGTTCAGCAAACTGTTCATGAACCGTTCGACAGGAAGTCCGTTTATGTTCATTTATTTAATAAATGAGAGAACACGAACATAAATTCTCGCTCGTTTAGTTAAACGAACAAACATGAGCAATAGTCTCGTTCGTTCAATTATGTCCGTGAACGTTTGTTTATGTTCGTTCATATAAGTTTATTTTATGTTCATATATGCTTAATCGTATTTGATTACATTTTAGATTATATGTTCATATATGTTCAATTATGTTTTTTTATCTTTATTCGTTTATATTCGTTCGTTTAACTTGTTCACGAACATAAACGAACGAACATAAACAATATAATTTGTTAAACGAACGAACATGAACTATACATATATATATATATATATATATATATATATATATATATATATATATATATATATATATATACATATTGCATACATTTCCTCTCCAGACTATTTATTTTTCAGAAAACTACATGCCTAAAAAGATATGCACGGCTTCTTTTTGGAGTATACATGGACTCTCCTATTTTCAAGTATGTAGCAGTTTTCTTGATAAAATAAAAATGACATAACTTTACTCATATTCTTACAAACTTTAAATATTACTTTATGTCCTTACTATATATATATATATATATATATATATATATATATATATATATATATATATATATATATATATATATATATATATATATATATATATATATATATATATATAACTATAAAATTCATATCTATAATCAAACTATATTTTAATTAGGGTTAAACTAATTTAATATGGTAAAATTTATTAAAAATCCAAAATATCAAATGATATTACTAAACTACCGTTCTCAAATAAAAAATTAGATTGAACCAATATACTTAAATCAATATCAATATGTTCTCAAGTGCCTGCAGACAAATATTTAAAATGTGAAAATATGTTAATAAACAGACAATTTTCATAAAGCTACATTATTTAATATAAATATGTAAATTAAGTTTAGAAAAAACAAAATTCTTATGATATCAATGTCACCTGAAATTGCCTATTGCTATTAACTTTGTTAATGAAGCACAACATAAACTTATTCAATTGATTCGATACCCCTTTTGTGATCAATAATTTTTAGTTGCACAATGAATTAAAAGACAATAACAAATAATCTTATTCAACCAATTTGATTCTTATATGTTTAAGGATTATATTGATGGATCCTAATTTTGTGTTTTCTATTTCTAAATCATCTATTTGATTTTTCACATAGATAGTTTCATGTATATAGTGTTTTTGTAGTTAACTCATTTTAAGGATGATATCTCCTAGATGGTTTCATGAATTTTCCTATAAGTAGATTTTTTTTTAAAATTTTTTTACAAACAATTTGTGTAACATTCCAAGAATAC